TTGAAAACATACCTTACGAGTGGTAGAGAGGTCACTGTTCACCAGACCATGAGACTGACCATGCTGATTTTGGGAGCAATAAGTTAACACAGATGAACAGTACATTTATTGATTACAATTGGTTGATTCCTATTGCCACACAGGCTACTGGGGCTTGTGTGCTCACAAAGGGGTATTGATCCCAACTGTAGCTTTCGAGTGGGGTTTGCCACCCCCTTCTCTTATCACCAGGGAGAGCCAAGAAAATATAGGACATATTTATGCCCATAGTCATTTGTATAGATCTGTGATGTCTTTAGAACAAAAAGTAGAATTTTTATTTGCTTTGACATAGATTGGAATCAGTGATGTGATCCACTCCCCTTGTGTACAGAGGAGGAAAAAATCATCTGTATAAATCCCCTTGGCTTTCTTCAAGGTGTTCAGTATCTTTCCCTTTTGAAAAAGTAACAAGGTTCTGTGACACAGAGCTGTGACCCTGAGGCTGAAAAACTTATGCTTGGAGCCTAATATTACCAATGGATTTCGATGGGGGAAAAGCATTCAATTCCTATGTTCATCAGTGTATTCATTCACTAGACAACTGATATATCAGGGAATGAAACAAAACCCCTGCTCTCACAGAGTTTATATTCTAGCAGGAGAGAGAGAGAACAAAAACTCGGCCTAGGGTACGTTGGGGGATAACTTGATATGCTACGGAGAAAAGGAAGCAGGGAGTAGGAACAGGATTTGTGCAAGGAGGTGTGATTTGAAAACCGGTCTTCAGGGAACTCTGCTCTGACGAAGGGGCATTTGGCAGAGCCCTGAAGAAAGTGAGAAGTTGAATCATGTGATTATGTAGGGGGAGAATATTCCAGGCAGCAGGCACGGCAGAGGCCCTGAGGTTTGAGAGTGCTTGGAGGGTCTGAGGGACAGCCAGGCGGCCAGTGTGGCCGTAGTGGAGTGCTGAAGCGACAGAGGTGGCCGAGGAGCCAGGGAGGAACCTGGGCTGATCACACACGGCCTGTGGGCCCATGAAAGGCTCTGACTCTTATCTGTATTCAGACGGGAAGATGTTGGAGGCTTTTGAGCAGGAGCTATTATGATTTCACTTCAATTTTAAAAAGACCACTGGTGTTGGATACAGACTAAACTGTGTGTATGAGAACAGGGGAGGGAGGAGCAGGAGACCAATGGTAAAAACATGTGCAATAATCTAAGAGCTGCGGGAACTCGCCCTGAGTGGTAGCAGGGGATGGTAAGTCGCCGAATACTAGCTACAGTTTGAAGGTAGAACCTGTGGGATTTTTCTGTGACATGTAAAGGGAAGAGAAGATTCAAAGAGGACTTCAAGATTTCTCTACTGAGCAAGGGAAAGAATTGAGTTTCCATTTACGTACACGGGGGAAAATGTGGGAGGAAGACATTTGTGTGGAAATTCAGACAAGTGATTTTGAACACGTTAAGTGTGCGAAGCCTATAAGACTTTTAAGTGAAAATGTTATGCAGATAGTTGACTATGGATGGATGGAGAAGAGGAGAAAAAGTCCAGCATCTAGAGCTGCTTGTGTGTGGATAGTTTTTAAGCGCTTGAGACTAGATTGAACTCATTTAGGGAGTAAGTATAGACAAAGAAGATATTTACAGTTGAACCATGGAGCACTCTAAAATTTAAATATTTAGGAGATAATGAGGAACCAGAAAAGGGGATTGAAATGTTCTCTATCTGTACCAAAAGGAGAACCCCTCTCTCTCTCTCTCTCTCTCTCTCTCTCTCTCTCTCACACATACACACACACACACACCCCTTTTCTAATAAACCTGAATTAAGATATAGGAGTCAGTCTCTCAGAAAGGATGATGTTGAGTTTTCATGATGTGCCAAAAGAAGCCCAAGGAAGAAGAGGCTTTGATAGGGCAATGGCCCTTCAGCTCAGCCTTTCTTGGACCAACAAATGACTTAGGAATTTGAGGTGAAGACATAGTGGGTGATATGAAGTATGATAATGGGAATGATGGCAACATGGTTGGAACAGGACATATAAACTTTAATGATGTTAGTGTTCATGACTATTACTATAACACCTACTTTTAAAAAAAATTAGCAACCTTACAGATTAATAATGAGAATAAAATGGTATACTTTTTTTTGTTGTTCTTTTTCATACACAGGTCTATATTAAAATTAGGATTATATTGTATATACATTGTTATAGTCTGCTTTTTATTTGCTATAATAACAGGGATGTTTTGAGAAGGTTCTTCTGTCAACATATTTTAATGAGAGAAGAGAGATGATCAAAGAGAAGAGTGTGTTAGGTTGAGAAATGTCTGGCCTGGTAGATACCACTAAAGTAGAATGATGGCTGCGTGTGTCTTTGAGAGAGACAGAGAACAAGGACAACTCTGGTCTTGGTGACTTGTGTCTTGGTGACTGAATGATGACTGTGCCACCCCTGGGGACTGAGAAGACAAGACTGACTAAAGCTTGCTTATTTTTTTTTTTTTTTTTTTTTTTATCCTCACCCGAGGACATTTTTCCTTTTTTTGTACAGATTAGAGTGGGAGGGAGAGAGAGGAAGAGAGAGAGAGGGAAACATCGATGTGAAAGGGACACATCGAGTGGCTGCCACCCGCACGACCAACCAGGGCCGGGGACAAACTGCAACCGAGGTACATGCCCTTAGCGGGAACCGAACCCGGGTCTCTCCGGACCGCAGGCGGACACTCCAACCGCTGAGCCAAACCGGCCAGGGCGCTTATTTTTTATGTCAAGGTGGATTCCAGAGTTGCCTTCTCTATAGCTGGAGAGTTGCTGGTTTTTCATGAATAGATGTAGCAAAAACTGAAAGGGAAGGATATCTGGAAATGCTCTGATTGATATACAAATGTAATAGGCAATGGAACTAGTTTGTAACACCAAGTAAGTTGTTTTGACTAAATTATTTGGTTTGGCTTCCCCACCGCTTACAAACAACAAGAACAACAACAACAAAATAGCCCAGTGTCCCCTGTATTTTTCATGTTGTGGGGTCCAGTCTAGACACACATGCCATCAAGATTTAACATAGGAACTTCCTCCACAAAATCTGTGAAAATTGTGAAAAGTCATTTTAGCTTATCAAGAAAGTGTTATGAGCATGACCACAGCAAAATAGTTTCTCCTGTTGAAAACTTTTATGGCACAAATTGCTTTTATAATAAATGCATGATGTGATTAGATTCAGAAGGTATTGGTAAAACCAGAGCCAGTGAAAATTTTTTTCAAGTAAATAAAATTAATGAAAACAATAGAAATAACATTCAGTTGTAAATGTCTGGCAGCTATAAGTAAAATATGTGTGTGTGTGTGTTTTCATTTGCATATTGAGAACTCTCTCTATATAGGTTCTTGACTGGTGAGCAAAATTGACTAGAGAATGGGATTTTACAAGGTCAAGGTCACACATTCCACTGGCCACACAGAAGCAGAAAACGATGTCATCGTCATCAATTGCACCAGAAATTCTATACAGTTATTTCACGGACATGTGCTCTTGGTCACATTGACTAACAAAGAGAGTTTCAGTAATTTTCATCACACTGTTAGGAAAAATAGACACACAACTTTAAGCACAGATGCCACACACTACAGGACAATGATCCAACTTTATATGGGACTGGCTGTATGTACAGCGACACGTACAAATGTACAAACTCAACTGCATCGGAGAAAAAGCCCACCTCGTTTTAATTCCAGCATTTAGCTGAAACAAACATACTGTAGATATCTTGCACTTTTATTTCTAGTCAGGACTGCAGTAATAGAGAACTTTTCGAAACATTATATTCTTTTTTAAAATACATGATTTTTCTATGTATCTTTGCCATTTGTTATAACTAAATCACTGCATCAGAACACAGAGTTTTTCAAAAGCAAGAACAGTATCTTTACATCTCAGAGTTTGTGAAGTCTGTCGGAAAAGAACATGACAGCCCTGAGAAATCCACTCACAACGTTTCTGCCACTTCACTCTGAGGGTCATGTGCAATGACAAATCCTGAAACTTGCACCAGAGATCAAGTTGCGGAAACACCCGTCTTTGATCATTGCATTTGTTTGCTTTAAAAATCGCAGCAGATGATTTCCTGACATTTCCTTTTCTGACTAGCTGCATCGATCCCATAACAAAGTACAAAGCAGTGTAAGTTCCCCTGCAAATCTACTCATTATCCACTGGACTTTGGGACCCAGCTGCCCCTCTCATTGGTCAAGGAGAATTGTGCTTTTATGCTGTTCATTTAAAAAAAAGAAAAGAAAAAGATAAACTGTCAAGCTCATCATCTCCAGTGAATCACCGTTTTCACCTGCAGTCCTGGCCGTTCAGGAGCGAAAGCAGGAATAGAGGGAAAGCCCCCTTTGGAGTCTAGAACTCTTCCTCTGCGTGAGCAAAACCAGTGATACAAACAGCGTGGATCAGCCTTTCAACACGCAAAATGGATGAAGGACCCAATTTTCCATAATAGGTTAAATCCAAAGTAGTTCTATATTAGAGAAATCCTTTGTAATCTTCCCATTTCCCCCTTTAAAAATTAGATTCTGGCTTTCACACGGACCATGGGAATAGAATATTTATCTAACAGGTTTCAAGTCTTAAGGGCAGCCTCCTCTTTATTTTCTCGGACCTTTTTGCTTCCCACCCACCAAAGTCTTCACTTAACCCTACACACAGTCCAGCGGGCACCACACATAAGCAAACTGTTTTCTCCGTGACCTCTACGCCTTCCACTCCACCGGAGCAACGTGGAATGCACACTCAGCAGGCTCCCAGGCTGGAGCCGGTTTGTCCTCGAGGCATTTCTGCCACAAAACATAACACCTCCACTGTGTTTTCCTCCAGGCAGACCTGTCTCCCACTCCCCTCTCCCCTTCCTGCTTCTCCTTCCGCACCTGGCAGCAATTCACAAGCCACTGGGCACACAGCAAACAAAAAGCACGAAACAGCAACAGATCCCTTTGTTTTACATGCAAATCTTACCTCCGGTAGTTGTCACATCTTCCTCAAAAGCCACGCTTAATTTTTCAGGACAGCGATCCAGTGCAGTCCTCCAACGAGCCACGGGTAATCATCATCACCTCTCGTGCCTAAAGCCTTTCTGGACCATTAGTGTCACAACCCTTGCTAACTCATAGCTTTAATACTCCCAGCTCAAAATGTCTGAAAGAGTTTGGAAGGACAATAGGAGTGACAGGCACGCTAGACAGCCATGCTTGAAATTAGTTAGCTGAAGCACCGTTCAAGCTGCTTCATACTGTTTTTAAAGCGTGCAGGAGGCAGGATTATTAGCCTATGATAGGCATGCTGTTTCTGTTTTTAATAAATACTGGAACAGGCTGTCTGTTAGCAATGCTGCGATAGGTCTAACCTCACTTCCCCACTGCTTTTGAATTCTCATATTAAAAAGGGAGAGAGGGCTCAGACGTCCTTCCAGACCCACAGATAGCACCCTGCCTGCTGGATCAGATTTCCAAGTCCTCTTTGACGACGGGAGAAAACACTTCCTTAGCAAACAGGAATTTTTACACGGGGAGCGAAGTTGGGAATAAACACTCTAGGGTTCCCCAAACAATTCTCTCCCTCCCAGCAAGGGACTCCCGCTCTACCCAGCTACAAAAATAAGCATTCTCTAGAGTTAAGTGAGAGAGTCAGTCCCAATAGGACACGGTCTCCTCATTACTGAGGTAGGATTCAGGGTATACATTTTATATAAAACTTCAAATTAGATATCAAGCAGATAGAATGGATCGATGAGCGCACTTATTATTTCATGCTGGTTGACAAAGAGTGCGTTCCAGTGAGAAGTGACCACATGCTCTGCACTACCGTTTACGCGAAGAGAAAGAGTGGGTGGGGGAGGGAGGAGGATGTCTACACTACCCTGGTCCCTTCCCACAGGCATGATCAAGGAAGGCCCAAGAGGGAGATCTTACCATTGGTGATAGATAGGGGTATTACTTACTTGCCTTGAAATGCTACTCTGAAATGTTCCAAGAAGCAGAAAAAAGTTCTTGGTGGCTCACAATAAAAGAGAGAATGTGCTGTGCTCCAAATACCCAGATTTGGTCCTTGGCTTCTGCTGGGTTTTCTCTCCTTCTGCTACCTCAGGAGCAATAGTTTGTAACAGTTACTATGGAAATCAAGTGGTCCCCCTCAGGGGAGGGACTGAGGGGGGGGGGGGTATGGGATGAAATAAGAAAGAAAATGGAAGGGTTCTGTACTGGCCTGTAGAATTGAAAATGAGGTGTGATTAACAAAGAAACAAACAAAAACTACTGCAAAACAAAATCTCAAGGGGAATGGCTATGAATGACCTGTATTTAATTACAGGTAGTTTTGTTATCTAGAAATACTATTTGATCATAACATCCATTATTTTATTACATGCGAGAACTGAATATCTGAATTGCTCAGATGTCTGATGAAGGAAAGATACTTTTTTTTTTCCTCTCTCTCTTCCTGTTTTTTTTTTTTTTTTTTTTAACTCCTGGTTTGGGTTTGAATATGCGCTGATTGTTTCTGAGTTTTAGTTGTTACTTTACTGGTCACAGTTTCTTCTCAGAAATAAGGGGTGGCTCTGGCCAGTTTGGCTCAGTGGTTGGACCATCGGCCCGAGGACCAAAGAGTCGGGTTTGATTCAGGTCAAGGGCACATACCTGGGTTGCAGTTTGTTCTCTGGCTCTGGTCTGGGTCATGTTGGAGGCAACCAATCTATGGGTATCCCTCACTCCCTCACATTGATCTTTCTCTCTCTCTCTCTCTCTCTCTCTCTCTCTTCCTCCCTCTCTCTCTCTTTCTCTCTCTCTCTCTCCCTCACACTCTGTCTGAAGATAAATGGAAAAATATCCTCTGGTGAGGATTAAAAAAAGAAAAAGAAAGAAGGTGTGATTAAATGGAATAATTTCCTTGTATCAAAAACCATAACCATGTTTCATTCTGACCGAGTAATTTCATAGTGCCTCACCTGGGGCAAAATCAAAATCAGAAAATACTGTGATTGGAATTTCAAAAGGCAATTTTGTTCCCATTATGTTGATAGGACAAAGAAGACTTTTTCAAATTTTCAGTTCTTCAAATAGGAAAAAAAAAAATTGTGTTGTGTCCAAAACCTTCACCAGCCCCATGATCCTGCAAGATAAACTATTTCTTAACCAAGTAATTAAATGTTCACAGTTGTAAGGAGTCTGGGGAATATGAAATTGTTGTCTCTGGTTTCTTGGTTTCACAGCTTGTAATTGGAGTAACTGACATCACGGAAGCAGGAGCACAAAAATCCCAAAATGAAATTGTTGGCAGGTCATTCTTCAGGATTTTATGAAAATCCTATTTTTTTATAGGCAGGCGTGCCAAAAATTTGTCATTGGAGAAGGATTATTTCAGGGAAAAAGAATTTATGATATTCTCTTTATAAAATGATGGGAGAGTATTATAAATTGTATATCCTCATTTTTCCAAATGTACGAAGTGTTGAACCTGACAACCTAAACACCATTAACAGCACCATATGTGATACATGACTTGGAAGAGAGGGGGAGAGAGAGACTCTCCGGTTGGATCCTCCCCTCCAATCCCACGTGTGATTAATTCAGAAAACAGATACGGATGACATAAGAGATAAGGATAAGCTTTTGTCCCTGGGATGAAGAGGGGCTGTGGCAAGGACAGTCAGTGGTGCTTTGGCGAGGCTCTGTCCTTGGAGAAGCAAAAGTCACTTGACCTCCGAGGATGAAGGAGGTTACCGGAGAGGGAAGTTCAGATGGGGGTGAATGGGGTGGGAGGTGGTTTATTGAGGAAATGAAGGATGAGCAAGAAGTGAGGGAGGGAAGCTGAAGAGAAAGAAAGAAGAGGGGAAGATTTCCGAGGGATGAATGAAAGACTTGTTTAGGTAGCATCCCGTTTAAAGCGGGCACAGGCTTTGGCATAAGGTCTGGCTAAAACGTGTTTCCGTTCGCCTCGGTGAACCTCGGTGAAATGGGATAATAACATGTTGTAAGACTGCAGTGATCATGAGACAAAGCACATGAGAAGACAGGAGTAAAGCTCTTTACAAAAAAGAAATATTAAAATAAGTGCTAGTTATTACCCAGCAGAAAGTCAGAGGGAGAAGAATGATGGAAGAGCAATGGGTATAGGAGGAAAAAAGAGGAGAAAAAAAAGGGTGGAAAGAAGAGGAGGCAAGGCCAGGACAGAGGGAGGGAGTGGAAGAGAGAAGCATTTCTTCGGTTAATTACAGAAGCTAGAACCTCTTGTGTTTGTTTTGCTTTCTGGATCACCTCCCAATAACAGTTGCTTTAATTCCCCCTTTATAATGAAGTTCCGAAACGTCTTTATTAATGTCTTTGTAAATAGTACATGTCTGGAGCTCACTCCTTCTTCCACAGTAGAAAACTATGCTGAATTTGTTAAAAACATGCTCGACCGTTTCAAAAACAGCTGATCTGAAGATTGAATTTAGTTCTTAGCGTTGTGTGTTCGGATGGTTCCCCGGAGAACGAAGTTTGGAGCCGCGCAAGGCAGGAACTGAAGTAATATTTCAGAACTATATTACCAGACACATTCAGCAAGAGCACTCTGTGCATCTGCAACTTGATAACATTTTCAACAACATCTGCTCTTTGAATGCACATGAAAAAAACAAAATACTTGTTCTGGACAGAATTTGTTATGTTAACAAATATTCGGTTGAGAACTGGAGTCTGGGCCGGAACGATGCGCACCCACGCGGAGGGTTTTCGGTTTACATGGACAGCCTGCAAACTAAGTGGTTTAATGAATGGAACGATGAATGCATAATTTCATTATGAATCATCACTATTAAAATGAAAATTTGATAGATACATAACCAGGAAGTGTAGCTATCTGTTACAGATCCAAGGGCTAATTATATTTTGGAATATCTAATGTATGCTCTGAATAACACTGAGAGCAACTGTTTTTGCCCTGTAGTGATTATTTCTCTGGGAACAACAGGAAAGTTACTTTAGAAGCTGCTTCCTTCCTGTCATATTCTTGTGAAAGCTGACGCCAACTCGCTCTACAGTCCCCGTTTAATTCATAAAAGAGGCATTCTCTAGGATACAAGCAAAGTCTTAGCCCTACAACCTAATTAAAAGCAAGCAGTTGATGAAAATCTGACCTTTAAAACCCCACGTCTGATTCCAAGTCACACTGAAGTGCCTTTCATTTGTCTACATCACTTTCCATATTTTCCTTCTGATTAGAGATTTTTAAAAATTTACTAGTGAAATGACCATTTCTAAAAGTTTACATTCATAGAGTAAATCTACGCACATCATGTTTGATCCTGAGAATGAAGTTATTGAGTGGCAAGGCAAATATCAATAACTTCATTTCCATCTGGAGAAATTGAGCATGAGAGGGGTTAAATGGTTTATCCAAGATCACACAGCCTGTAAGTATGTCTTCCAACCCATAATCCAGTATTATTTTTACTTCATGAAACTTTATGCCTGTCTTTTAATACTTCGCCTAGAAATATCCAGAAATGTAAGCACCAGAACTTTTTTTCAAAAATGGTAAAAAAAAAAAAAAAAAAAAAGTATAAATTGGAACTCACTGGCATATTTTTTTCTCTTTCTGTCTGACAAATATTTATGCCTGGTTGTTTACCTTTTGTTTTACAGTTTTTTACGTTTTCAAGGTAGAGTTGGTAAACATTTTTAAAAGATAAACTATAGATTTTCACAATTCTTCTAACTGCAGAATCGGCACTGAATATAATTCTATACTAATGGTGGCAGCTGAAAGGACTCTCTGATCTATGGGCTGTAAGCAAAAACTCATCTAGTGAAGCTGTGATTTGAATCATCTTCTTGGATTTTTTTATTGCATTTCTGTCTGTTTTCGTAAAAATTAGGAGAGACATTCCTGCGGAAAACCCCTCCTTCTCTCAGCAGCTAGTCCTATCTGTAGGTTTCAGTGAATTACCATTCTGTATGCGTGGCATTGAAATGGGAGAAGGAGGTAGATAATAATGTAATATGCATGGTAATTAATTTATCTGAATTTTCAGACTAGTAGGAATATCCTCCCTAACATGCCCCTTCCCACCACCAAACCGATTGAGATGCTGAGCCCGCGTGTGGATGCCCATGGAAAGCTCTGTCACAAGCTGGTTTAACCAACTTTCTGAAGCCATCAGTCTGGGGTTGAGCCATTGCATTTGGCAGACAGCTCACTGGACTGTGTTTCCATTCTTCCAAAGCCTGTCAAAGGACTGGCATAAATCAGCTTTA